GTTTATTTATTTTATGTAGTTGCGAATTGCCTCTATGTTTTAGTAGTTTAATCCTTCATTGTTAATATGTGCAAGCCGACTTCTTGCTGCTGATTAGGTAGTGCATTGTGGCTGGTGTAAAGGCATTTCAATACAAAGAAATGGCTACATACGAGCTCCGATTTGTATATAAAACCATACATTCTTGATTATGTTATTTAAAATCTGTTCATAGTTTACATCCATATGCTTATTCATAAGTATTGCTTCATGATATAAAAAATCAAAGATTCGTGACTAGCAATCCTGAGACAGAACAAATTCATCATCAAACGATCATACCACAAATTCGCAATACAGGAACTGACATGTTCAATATTAATCTGTCTTTGGTTCAGGTACCCGAATAGTTTCTGGGTACAGAAACTTCTTGGCTCCGGTGATATCTACTAGCTTCTTGCCAACGGCGTCCTTTGGCGATTCCCCTGGATGGGTGATGTATAGCAATCGGTAAGTCCACTCTATCACCTCTGGGCAGAAAATCTTCCATAAGAAAGTGGCTCTGAACCATGCTGGTTCAGTAACGTATCTTTCTCCCTTGCATGCACTGCTCACAATTCCTCTTGCACAACTCTCCACTCTCTGCACTGGGATTATGCTCACTAGAGCCTACTCCAAATTTCATTTAACACAGTCAATTTTTAAAGAAAATAAAATAAATATATCCGTCAAATATATCCATGTTTTAGGACTGAATGTGTTATTAGTAGTTGCTTATATTTGTATGTTACACTTATGGATCTTCAGTTCAAGAACAAGCCCGTCTAAGACTCAAATCGTGGTATTAACGTTGGTTTGATTATGAGCTTTATGATTAGGAATTATGTTTTGCTTTGCTTTGTGGTACTTATTAGGGAATTTTGATGCTTATATTGTGCACAGGTCGAGAATAAAAAGGGTAAACAACTTACATCTCTGATATCCTGATCAACTTCAAGTTTGCCTGCCTTGCTCATATGTTTGCCTTCTGGAAGTTCAGACTCTATGAATCCAGGAGTTACAAGTGTTATTCCTATATCAGGCCCAAACTCAATCCTCAACGTCTCAAAAAATTGTGTGATTGCTGCTTTGCTTGCCTGAAATTTAATACGCGGAAAACACATGAATTCCAATCCTTGGAATCAAAACAGTACAAGTATATTGTGATGTGTGTATTCTCCACTTACGTTGTAAAAACCCATCCTAGGTGCTGGTAACCACGACGCACTTGAAGAAATTCCAACAATTCGGCCTCTGCTGTTTCTGAGATGCGGAACCGCAAATCGTGTCATATATACGTAGCCCCAAAAATTGGTATCCTGTTAGGTTTGCATGAGAACGAAGAATGTCATAATCTATCAATAGATATTCTTGTAATCTTTGTTGTATTGATCATGGGTTGACAACAACAATGGAAGTCTATGAGAGCATTCGTCCTCGAATATCATGATATTTCCTTCAAGTCTGTCAGGAATATAGTAACCTTAGATCTTACCACGACTGTTCTGAAATCAGTGACATCTTTAGCTTCTTCCAGCATAGAGATCGACACCATTCCCGCATTATTAACTAGAGATCGACATATCATTGCCAACAAGATATATCATTCCTGTCTTCCTCCCCTAAAATGGTGAGCCAGATGAGGCCTACACCTCAGGGCCAAAGCTGCAAGGGGGCCTCACTTTAGCCTTTTATTTATTTATTATTTTTATTTTTGCAATTAAATGAGAAAACTAAAATCTCCCCACCGACTCCAGTCTCCAGCTCGCCTCTCCTCTTGCATGGAGATATATGGGACGGACGTACAATTTTTTTCCTTCAATAACCGCGAGCGCCATTTCTAGTTGCAGAGCTCGAGGAAGAGGGGAGGAAGATGATGAAATTTTGAAATTGGGTCTTTTTTCATTTTTAAGTTTAGGCCTTTTTGTTTGGACTGATGAGTTGGGCGCCTTTTTTTTTTTTTTTTTTTTTCT